TTCTTTAGTTGCATTTGAGGGGATTAGTTGGGGTGTCTGTACACCTGGGAAGGGTTTATTTGATTTCTGTGATTGGCTTTTCTTTGCTGCATCAGTTGCTTCTATTTGCTGCACTAATCCGCGCTAAACCCTAAACCCTAAACCCTTTCACTGCGTGCGCGGACACCTGATGCAAAAGTTATTCGAGATTTAGGGTTTAGGCCCCGCCGCCCCGGCCGAAGTTTTTTGCTGCAAACGAAACCCTAAACCCTAGCTAGGGTTTAGCTAAATCTAGGAAGAAGGCTTCCTTGCGCCGCTGCCGACGAAACCCTCGCGAGGGTTTAGGGTTTAGGGTTTAGTCGCACATAGTCAGAGGCGCCGCCTGCGGGGGCGACATCGCCGTGCCCATGCTGGTCGATAGTCCCAGGATTCTTCCTGAAAAGAAACCCTAAACCCTAAACCCTAAACCCTGAAGCCTCCCGTGGCGAGAAGTCTAACGACCCCTGCCGTCGTGCAGGGCTTAGGGTTTAGGGTTTAGGGTCTGGCTCACTCTGTTGCTGCACCCACGAGAAGCTCAGAAAGATAACGAGCACCTGTTCAGAAACCACCCCGCAAACCGCAAACCCCAAACCCTAAACCCTAAACCCTAGCTAGCGGCTGAGTGGCTCAAGCCGCCTGCAGTGCTCTGCGCAGCAGCCGCCGACCCCCGCAAACCCTAAACCCCCCGACGCGCCCAAACCCTCGCGAACCCCCGAAGCGCCGCCCTCCCCCGGCCGCACGCCGCACCCCAAACCCTAAACCCTAAACCCTAAACCCTCGGGACCTTGAGGACGAGGTTGAGGAGCGAGAGGCCGAGCGCGAAGGCGTGGGCCCTGTGGGCCCAGCGGACCTGGAGGTCGCGCGGCTCCGGGAAACAGAGGCGCGGGCTTTGCTGCTCGCAAATCCAAGTGGAAAAAGAAACAAAAAGAAATAAAATGTCTGCAAAAGAAGCCAAAGACAGCAGCACGGCGAAGTGCCGCGCGGCGCGCAGCAGCCGCCGCAGCGCCGCGCGACTTGCGCAGCAGCTGTCCATACACCACACGTGGTACCCCACCAGGTACACCCCGAAGTTGAAGTCGCAGCGCCCCACACAGGCGAACAGCGAGCTCGTGAGCAGCAGCTGCAGCAGCAGCATTATCACTCCCGGGCTGCCCCGCAGGCTCGACAGCTGCTCCCAGCTGCTGCTGCTGCTGCTGCTGCTCTGCGCTGCTGCGGGCGGCCCGGCCGCGCGCGGAACCAGCAGCGCAGGCCCCAGGGAAGGGGGGGGGCCCCCGCCGTACCCTGCGCTGCTCCGCAGCCCAGTCAGCAGGGGGGCCCCCGGGGGGCCCCGGGGGGCCCCCGGGGCGCCCAGGGGGGCCCCCGGGGGGGGCAGGGACGCGAACGCCACTGGGAGCCCCTGCGAAAGCGGGCACCCGTAAATCGGGCGCGAGACGATGTACGGGCTCGTCATGGCCGCTGCTGCTGCGGCTGCTCCTGCTGCTGCTGCTGCTGCTGCTGCATGCGCGGCGAGCAGCAAAGGGGGACGAGAACTCGGCACACAGAGCCCCGGGAGAGCACCTGCAGCCACCAGCTACTCTGCGCGCATCCCCGCAGCCACCGACGGCTTCTGGCCGCAGCGCAGGCACCCGCAGCAGCAGCAAACTGCAGCAGCAACTGCAGCAGCAACTGCAGCAGCGACTGCAGCAGCGACTGAGCAGAAGCGGCTTCTGCTGCCCACAGAGGCCCTCAGGCGCGCAGAAGCAGATCAGAGGCGCTGCAGTTTCTCCCGCGGATGCGGCGCGAGCCGACGGAGTCTGCCGGGAGCTGCAAAGCGGGAAAGACGCGAAAAAAGAACTCCAAAGTATAAAATTAAATCAAATAAAAGGTTTTCAATTCATTAGAAAGCAATTTAAGACGCGAATGACCGGCAGAGTGAAGCGCCCGCTGCAGTGGCTCGCGCCGCACGCAGTCACCCGATCCGCTGCGATTTAAAGCCCTTTTGGAAAAAAATTGGCTCCCGTAAACTGCAAATTTTAAATTATTTGTGAAGGAGTTTCCGCAGAATAATTTGTGGGCGGCAACGTGGAAGATCGCGCAGGTCCGCGTGGCCAGCACCAGGTGTCTGTTCACCTCGGAAGCCGTTGGTCGGATAGCCAGCAGCAACCTGGAGGCGAAACACTTCGCCACTTCTTTGAAAACCTCAAAATTTTCGGCCTTTTGCGCAAATTCAAAAGCACTTTTCGATATTTCACTTGTTTTCCCTTCTTTTGGCGCGCCAAGTTTTCTTTTTCCCCGCAGTTTCCCCCCTCGCCTGACCGCCGCTCTCCAGGGTGTCGGCCATGGCGATCTTCCCAGAAACCTCCATTTTCTTCTTCAAAAGGGCTTATTGGAAACTATTTGCATTTATTTCCTTTTATTTGTTTTCACTTGGATTTAGTTTTTGCTCTACCTCCCGCAAAGTCAAGAACCACTCGCGCCGCCGCCCCAGTTCAGAACTTGCAAAAGCGCCGCAGCGCAGCAGCGCATGCAGCAAATTCAAAAAGCTCTTTTCCTTTTAAATAAGCCAAACAAAAAAGTCTGTTATTTCTTTTTCTTCTTGAAATCCGTAAAGAGGAAGGCGACGCAAAACCTTTAATTAAAAAGTGGTCCACTGGACCTTACAGAGGCCCCCCAACCCCCAAGTTTCCTTTTGTCTTCTGTCTTCAAACATTTTTCTTTAAAAACAAGAAACGCCTTTTTAAGCTCAAATAATAAGCAAACGAAAGCCGAAACAAACAGAAAAGAATAAAAGAGATAAAGAGAAGAAAAGAATAACTGAAGTTAAGAAAATAAAAGAATAAATGCGAAAAAGAAAAGCCGCGCAGAACAACTCCCAGGTGTACGTACACCCTAGCGGCGAAAGATGCTGCAGCTGCTTCTTGAGGCGGCAGCAAACCAGCATTGGTTCAAAACTCCAAACACTAAACCCTAAACCCTAAACCCTAGACCCTAAAATCTGAATTTCACTGCTCCTAGTGGCTTCTCGCGGTGAAGCTGCGACAGGCTGTACTCTTCTTTCTGCTGCTGCTGCTGCTGCAGCATTTAGAGCTGCTGCTGCTGCTCCTGTGATTGCTCGCATGCAGCAGAGGTCTCCGAAGCGGGCATCAAACCTTGAAGTTGAGAGTTTAGGGTTTAGGGTTTGGTGTTTACGGTTTGGGGTTTAGGGTTTAGGTGCTAATTTTGATGGAGCCCCACATTTGAAGGGCAGCCCCTGAGCCGCTGCAGGATGCCCCTTGCAACTGCACCCCCTTCCCCTGCTGCTGCTGCTGCTGCTGCTGCTGTTGTTGCTGCTGCTGCATGTGAGTTTCTTCGCAAACCTGTGGAGCTGCATGCAGCTTCTGTGCATGCTTCTGCGGGGGCCCCCAGGGGCCCCTGAGCTGCACCACAAACGCAGGAGATGAACGGCCTCCCATGTTGCTGCTGCTGCTGCTGCTGCTGCAGCTCCCTAGGGCCCGGCAGTGCATGCAAAAAAGGAGACTAAATTACCTTTGGTGGCCCTTGGGGGCCCCTGGGGGCCCCCCACGTCTTGCGAGAGGGTCTCTTGGCCTTGGCGCAGCAGATTCCAAAGCCTAGAAGCAGCAGCAGCAGCAGCAACAAAAGCAGCAGCAACAGAAGTAACAACAGCAGCAGCAGCAAGAGAAGCAGCAGCAGCAGCAGCAAAGAGCGCTGGCAGGAGACACAAGTCGAAGCAAAATCACAAAACGGAAAAAAGAATAAAAGTAAAACAAGAAAAAATAAAAAATCCTGAGACAAAAAGAAAAAAGAAAATAAAACTTCGCAGCCCACCAAGGAGAAAAAAGGGGCCCCTCGGCCTCCCCCAAAGCCACTGCTGTTTGGGTTTGGGGAGGATCTTTTAAAAGAGAAAAAGAAAAATGAATTCGAAGCAAGAGGGGCCCCCAGGTGACCCCTTGGACGCGGGCCCTGAGCTGTACGTACACCTCAGGCCGCAGCGAAACGCAGAAGCCGTTTCCGATTTCCCAGGATCCAAACTTCTGCCTTTCAAAGCCCTTTAAATGCAGCTTTTAATTAATTAATTAATTAATTAAGTTATTAATTTATTCATTTATTTATTGGTTTGTTTGTTCAAGCTGCATGCAGGTGAAGGAAAAATCAGTGTACTGTCTTCTCGCTTGCATGCAACTTAGAAATGGACGAAAGAAGAGATTTTTGGGCAAAAGGGCACTTTTTTCTTTTATTATTTGCAGCTAATAAATCTACTTTATAAAAAATGACTTTTTACTTATTTGCATATTTGTTCCACTTCAAGAAAAGAGCCGCGCATGCGCTCCCGCTGGGGTGTACGTGCAGCTCGCCTCAAGCCGCTGCAATTTGCATGTGGACTTTTTTCTATTTTTTCCACTTTTAATAAAAGAATTGAATGCAAATAAACGGCATTTGATGCAACAAACTAATTTAATTATAATTATTTTATTTTCTCGCAAAAAACCCGATACTTTTGGCCCTAAAAAAGCCATTTGCTTCGAATTTCAAAACCAGCTCGCAGGTGTACATACACTTGAACTGTATGCGGCCTGCGCACTTGCAAATGCGCTTTTTAGGCATTTCATTTTTTTTTCAAATACATTTTATTCTGCTTTGTTTCTGCATTATTTCCTTCTTATTTATTGCCAAATTATTTGCAATTATTTGTGCAAATCCCCAAAAAACTGTTTTATCCAACTCAAAGTATAATATAGTAAACCTACCTCCAAACCCCAAACCCTAAATCCTAAGCCCTACACCTCTGAGCTTTTATTCAGGGACTTTGAACCTAAATATCGAGCGCTAAACCCCAAACCCTAAACCCCAGCCCTCAGGATCCCACTGCCTTTAAGTGCTACCCACAAGCTTCGCATCCAAACCCTAAACCCTAAACCCTAAACCCTCAACTTACGGAGCTGAGACACAGAACAGTGCGAGGCCTCAACGGCGGAAAGCTAAGCGCTGGACAGACATCGCACGCAAACCCTCACCCCAAACCCTAAACCCTAAACCCTAAACCCTGCTGCTGTTGAGGCCCCGCGGCTGCTGCTCCTTTTGTCTCCTTGCGATGATGATGCAGAGCAGCATGCCGACGCAGCGACAGACGCGTAAACCCTAAACCCTAAACCCTAAACCCTAAACGTGGTATCTGTGCCCTCTTCGAATCCGCCGACGTTGTTAAAGGCCCTCACTCATTTAGGGTTTAGGGTTTAGGGTTTAGGGTTTGAGAAACCGTACCTAGTTGCGTCAGTGCAGTCACCGCGACGCACACCAAGGAGGGAGGGGGCCCCTCAGCAGCAGCAGCAGCAGAAGCAGCAACAGCAGCAGGAGCAGCAGCAGCAGGAGCAGCAGCAGCAGGAGAAGCAGCAGCAGCTGTTGCTGTGGGGCTCTGCCCCGAAGGCAGCTCTGAGGCAAATAAGCACTCAAAAGAATCCCCAAACTCTAGCCTCTCCCGAAACCCTAAACCCTAAACTCTAAATCCGAAACCCTAAACCCTAAACCCTAAACCTTTGTACCACCCCGCTTCAGGGTTTAGGGTTTAGCTAGGGTTTAGCGTTTAGCTAGGGCTTAGGGTTTAGGGTTTAGGGTTTACTTCTAGGTCTAGGGTTGGGAGACGCCAGCACTTCTCTAATGAGGACTTCAAGACAGCCGGGCACAACTGTACATATAGCTGAAACCCTCGGGGTTGCAGCCAGCCCTCTGCACAAGTTGCAAACCCTAAACCCTAAACCCTAAACCCTAAACCCTAAACCCTAAACACTAAACCCTAGACTTCCATTCCTCAGTCGTGACTCTGGGGCTGTAGACTTAATGAAAGCACGCACTGAGAGGCCTCAAGATCTTTCTGAGAATAAGAGCTAGGCAGCAAGGGTTTAGGGTTTACGGTTTAGGGTTTAGGGTTTAGGGTTTAGTTACTCGCAGAGCCGCAGCAAGCGCTGCAGGTCCTCTTCAGTCCGGCCCTCCCACATCACAGGTGCACTATCTGCAGCAGCAGCAGCAGCAGCAGCAGCGAAATCATCTGCTGAGTGTTTTCTGCTGCTCCGTGGTGGCTCCGCCGCAGCACCCAGCCTAGGGTTTAGGGTTTAGGGTTTGGGGTTTGCCTGTTCTTTTTCTGAGGAGGTAGTTTGCTGCTGCCTGCAGCAAACTGCAGCAAGAAGCAGCAGGGGGCCCCTGGGGGCCCCACAGCTCTAAAAATGCTGCAGTGAGTGGCAGGTCAAGTAGGGAGTGAAAGACCTCTGCGCAGGGGCCCCCCGCAACCTGCGCCAAACCCTAAACGCTAAACCCTAAACCCTAAACCCTAAACCCTAAATCCTAGAGCTCAAACCCTTGGCCTCAACCCCTAACCCTAGGCATGGATTCGGGCAGGGAGGCGGAAAAAAGGACCAAGAAGCAGCATGCTGCAAACCCCCAGTCCTAAGGGTTCTAGGGTTTAGGGTTTAGGGTTTAGGG